TCAGTAATTATAATCCAAATGAAATCCCTGGCACGGGGTCTGTATCTCAGGAATGGCTGGACACAGGGAGGAGAAGGGGGTGGTGGGAGATCTGGCAGAGCTGCAGAAGTATCCGTGCTCGCCCCTGCCCGAAAGCAGTCAGGAATTTTTTAGGACCGATGTGAAAGGGCGCAGGAAGGAGCCGAGTCCCTGGCTGCTGCTGCTGCTGCCCATGGGAAGGTCTGGCAGCACAGGCTGGAGAGATCACATCAGATGCTTCCAGGGCCGGGAGGATTTCATAGGGGTGTGCCAAAGGGAGACCTGTGGCAGGATCCTATGGTACCTGTCTCCTTTTTGGAGGATTCATCAGGAGGAGGGAGGACTAAATACTTGGAGGATTAGAGGGCATTCTTGTAGGCAAGAATGCGGTTTTTGCCTGAATTCCCTCAGAGGCAGCAGTTTTGCTTGCAGCTCCTTTGCTTATCTTTGTCTTGTTGGCTACAGGGCTTTAAGATCTAAGTTTAAAGGAAAAAAAAAAAAATCAAACTGAGCTATCTTTTCTCATGAGCTGACTGCTCTTGGCTGGCCTAAAAATAACAGGCCATATATATCCGAAAGGATTTTGTGAGCAAAGTCTTCAAAGCCAGCCAGACCACTGTGTGTATTTAAAATTGTGAACATGGCTAATTTTTTAATGGTCTTCAGTACACTGCCAGGCTTGTGTAATCTTTACCCGATAAGCATTCGTTTACAATTATCTCAAATAATCGGAAAACAAAGGCAGCCTTTTTTTCTTGAGCAACGGAAGAGTTATTTTGAAACCAGACCCCTTGAGGGAAATGGCAGGGCTTAAGGCTGATATTTATTGCGTACATAGAAAACTGGAAAACTTTTTACATGAAAACTAGAGATCCCAAATCATTAACTATGCATAGTCTTAACACAAATACCCTTTGAAGCAATATTTGAAGGAAACAAGAACAGAGTCCAGGGTTCCCTGCTCCCGGTTTCATGCCACTACGAACACAACAGCAACCGTGACCAGGACAGACCCACGCCGAGGGCTCCGCCGGTTAGCACTCATTTAGGAACAAGTATTTTTATTCAGCCCAATAACTGCTTTGATTATCTACTCTAACCTTGTGGGGCTCTTGCTTTGTCACATGAACACAGATGAATTTTGCTGCCAGGGCAGTCGCCGTGTTTAAAGCAGAGCCATGGCATCGAAGTCTTGTTGCCTTCCTAAAGATTTCCCAGGGGACGTACAGGCATCTTCATGGGTTTCACAGGTGTAATACACATAAATTTGATTTTCTGAATCACCTCTTGCAGAACCCTTAGAAACAGTCCACATCTCCTCGCAGGCTGAATACAGCTGAACTAGCTCAGCTCTTTTTAAATCAAGTTTAAGTGGGTTTATAAATGTTTTGCAGCCGTTGCATCCCTGCTAGAACAAGTTGTCCCAGTAGGTGATTGCCTGGCCTGTTTTTGTTTTTCAGGAGAGCCTAGTTTTTGGTGTGAATCTGTCTAGTTGCAGTTTCATTTTCTAGCGTGGGCACTTTCTACACGTGAGCTCACGTTCTTCTGTAGGTTAAAAATGGTTTTCCAAGCAGAAATATTCAGACTGGCCTGTGCCTCCCTCGCTGTCCTTTTTGCATGTGGGGTTGGCTGCTCTTCCTAAGTGAGTTTGGCTATGAAACATAGGAGCACATATGATTGAAGGAGAGAATCACCTTGTGACATGAGATTAAAGGTAACGCTTCTTGTCCGTCTCCTCCTCAAGTCACGGGCCGTGCCCGGGGAGGAGGGAGCAGCAGAGAACCCCAGCTCCCAGGAAAGCTCTGTTGTGGAGTGTGTGATCCTGTAATTAAGGGTTTTCACAGAGCACATGGAAGAGGAAGGTTTGTTCCAAATGTAGCCTGAAATTACACGTTCAGCATGCATTTAAACCGCTCACTATTAAAGTTTTTATTCTTGATTGTGTAAGCCTCAATAACGCTGTGGTTTTGTCCTGGTTCCTTATGTTTCTGTTCTTAACTTGTGCCCGGCCCTGCCCTTCCTCCTCCCCAGTGGGCAGGTTAGCGGCTAATTTTGGCACATGGGGACAGAGTGATACCATCCAGCTCCTGCTAATGTAAAAGCTGGATTGCACTGGGCACTGTCCTGGCATCTCAGTTTTTAGAGGGTACGATGAAATTACACTTTTTTTGAAGAAGGAACACAAGTGCAGGTCAGCCCCAGTTCTGGCTGGACAGGATCAGACCCTGCCTTTGTCTTCTCTTGGTAGAAGAGATGCCAAGGAAGGACAATTTGGTCCTTTGTTCCTGCGTGCCTGTCTCAGGTGAAGGGCCGGTTTTCCTTCAGGCTAGCTGGAGTAAAAGCCTCTCCTGTTCTTGCTGTGGTGGGGGAGCGGGTGCGTGCAGCAGTAGCACTGCCAAAACCCACTGTTTTCTGCCAGACACATGCGTAAAGAGCAAAGCTGAGTGGAAGGACGTTCACATCTCAGCACCTCGGTTTGGGTGGGCTACATCAGGGTGCATGGCCCATGGGGTGGCTTTCTCTGTCTGGTGTAAGCAGGAATTTTAAGTTCCTACTCTTGGACATTGCTGCTGAGGAGTTGACTAAAAGCTGTGTTAACAGCTTTAAACTCTGCTCTATAAACTGTACCCAGCATGTGTCTCATGACATGCTCTCCAGCTTGTCCAGGCTGGCCAAAAGCGGGGCTGATCCTTTGCAGAGGAGAGGAATGAGGGTGTTGCCCCTACAGTCGTGGCCGAAACCCTCTGCGGCTCTTGCACAAAAGCTTTCTCATGCTGTTCTCGCCAGAAGAGGTCCTACGTTACCCTTGCAGAGCTGCACGTCCAAGACCCTTTAGTGTGCAGAAACCCACAGTGGGGGGAGTGTGTGAGCCCTGCTGCCCTGCCTTTCAGTGGGCTGCCTAATCCTGCCTGTAGCCAGCAGGGTGGGAGAGGTACCCAGGACTCGCAGTCTGCCCAGCCCTGCAGCACCGGGCATCGCTCTTCATCTGCCCATCCAGGGGCTTTCCCCAGCAGGACTTGTGGTTAGGCAGGTCTGGCAAGTCCGGCCCTATCTCTGTGCCCGCTGCCGGACGTGGGGGCACTCCTGCCAGGCAAGTTTCCTTGTGAAGCTCCTCGCCCAGCTTTGCGTTTGGATAAATTATGAAATATGCATGAGCTTTACAGAATTGCAGAGTAACCAAAGCACCCTTTCAGGAGGAGAGCTGGAGTGTGGCCCTGCGTTGGACTGCAGCAAGCCTAGAGCCTCAACCAGCCTGCTAAATCTGTCTCCGTGGGCCCTAAAATGTCCTGTTTTCTCTGGGTGTGGGGGGAGATACCTCGTGGTGAGCTCTGGAAAGCCCAGCCGGGGCACTTTCCAAACGCCTCCGAGCCTGGGGGGGTGGCGAAGCTCAGGTTACTTACCATGGGGTACCTACAGCCCCAGGAAATGTCACAGCCTGCCGAGCTGGCGGTGTCACCCCTTCCACCGTGCAGCCTGAGCAGCTCCGCTGTGCTTCGTGATTGGCGAGCGGCTGTAGCTCAGACGGACAGACGTTAGCTGCCGGAAACAGGGGGCTTGGAGGGTTCGTGTCTACCCTCGGCTATGGCCCAGGGTGGGAGGCAGGAGTGCCCAGGGCTCCGACATGTGTGGCTTTCCCCTGCACAGGGTGGGCAGCGCCTTGGCAGGGTGTCAGCCATGCTGGTGACGTTTTGCAGAGAACCAGCGTCTTCTCCGCAAGAGCAAAATGGCCAGGGGACCTGAGCTGGCTGGGAAGGGGACTCAAGGTTGGAAGAGGAGGGTGGGCTCGGAAAGGCGCAAATGAGTAAGTTAGAAAGCGGAGGCAGCCGCTGTGGTTACCGCCGGCTCCCTCCTCTGGAGCAAATGGAAATGCCACCATTGTGTACGTTGCCCCCGCTGTTGGACATGCAGTTTGAAGGGGAGGCTTGTGCTCTTGGACTGTGCTTTGCTAATCTGCACCACAAGTTGTGTAAAAAAAAGAAAGTGCTGCTGTTGACCTAAAAGGGTGCGTTGGAGTCCTGAGGTGCCTGCGGTCTGGGCCAAAGCCGCCCGTTGTTTCTAGTCTGCAGAAGCAAGTTATTATATAAAAGTGAAATCCTTCATTTTAAGCTAACTCTGAGTATAAAGCCAGGCTGGTGCACCGTCCTCTGCAATGTCCAGCAGTGCCCCAGCCCGTGCACTGTGTCCCTGCCTGCCCACGCTGGCCATCGCAGTGCTGTGCGGACCAGATGTCGGGTTTGCTCCCCTCCTTCATCCCCAGCTTGCCGTTACTCTGGCAGTGCAGGAGGATGCCATGTTTTAAGCAGCTGTGTAGCCCTCGGGATTTGCTTCTGCTTGTTGAGAGCTAGTGTACTCCAACCAGGCAGGGGACTCCAAGCCATAGTTTGCCAGTTTCTGGCCCCTCTGGCTCAGCCTGGCTGCTGGGGGAAGTGGGACGAAGCTGGAAGTTAACATAGAAAACATATGTTCTGCTGAGCTGCTGGAGCAATGGGCTTGCAAAGTGTGATCGGCTGAGGAAAGCAGCAAGACGGCAGGGATGGGAGAGGAAGAAGAAGGAGCGGGAGGAGGGCAGTTGTTGGATGAGCTCTGCAGTATCACGTAACTTTACCCTCAGCTTCGTAGCTGTCCCCATGACTTAAACTCATGTCCCCATGACTTCTGCCCTCTGAGAAAATGAACCACTTGTGCTTAGTAGTTGCACAGCAAGTGCTAGAGAGCTGGTGCCTGCAGGCAAGGGACCTTTGCAGGACTTGATGACCTCCTTTGGCTCCTTAGGCCCTTTGGGACCACTGTGCCCTGCAGAGCTCATCCTTGCCACCATGCGGAGAAGGAGACACAGGCTGCCCCACTCTGGCCAGGACGTTCCTTCCCCAGTTGTTAACGCTTCAGATTTTTTTCTTTAATCCTTTAAATTGTTATTGCTGCTAGAACCTGTCCTAATGCTGTACTTCTAAAAGCACCTTCTTCTGTCTCTTATTTGGTAGATCTCCGAAGCTGGGAAGGACTCCTTGCCTTCTTGGTTACACTGGAACGCGGAGAGCAGCTCCCTGGAAGGGCTGCCCCTTGACACTGACAAGGGCGTCCACTACATCTCGGTGACCACGCTACAGCCCTTTCCAAACGGGAGCTACGTGCCACAGACCGCAAACGTCTTCTCTGTTGAGGTCCACCAAGAAGACCACAACGAGCCTCAGTCAGTGAGAGTGGCCGTCCAAGACACGGGTGATGCAGCGCCCGGAAGAGCCGGTCACTATCCTGACTGTCATTTTGGATGCCGACTTAACAAAAATGACACCAAAGCAGAGGATTGAACTCTTAAACAGAATGAGAAGCTTCTCAGAGGTGGAACTTCATAACATGAAGTTGGTTCCTGTTGTAAATAACAGACTCTTTGACATGTCGGCCTTTATGGCTGGACCGGGAAATGCAAAGAAAGTGGTGGAAAACGGGGCCTTACTCTCATGGAAACTAGGATGTTCTCTGAGCCAAAACAGTGTCCCCAACATCAGCAAAGTGGAGGCTCCAGCTAAGGAAGGAACCATGTCTGCCCGCCTTGGCTACCCTGTTGTCGGCTGGCACATTGCTAACAAGAAACCTCACCTCCCAAAGAGGATGCGGCGGCAGATCAACGCCACCCCTACACCTTTGACTGCCATCGGGCCACCCACCACTGCTGCGCAAGAACCACCGACCAGGATCGTCCCCACGCCGACGTCGCCCGCCATTGCGCCTCCCACAGAGACAATGGCACCCCCTGTCCGGGAGCCCATACCGCTGCCGAGGAAGCCTACGGTCACCATCAGAACAAGGGGCCCCATCGTCCAGACGCCCACTCTGGGACCAATCCAGCCAACCAGGGTAGCAGAAGGCACCAGCACGGCTTCCGTGCCAATTCGCCCCACGATGCCCGGGTACATAGAGCCCACAGCAGTGATGACACCGCCCACAACTACCACCAAGAAACCCAGAGTCTCCACTCTGAAGCCAGCCACACCATCCACAACAGATTCCTCCACAGCGACGACACGAAGGCCTACTCGAAGACCCAAAACACCCCGTCCAACAAAGCCTCCCAGCACGACCAGATCCCCCATCTCCAAGCTGACAACAGCCTCCCCGCCAACCCGCGTGCGCACCACAGCCAGTGGGCTCCCCCGGCCCTGGGAGCCAAACGAGCCACCCAAGCTGACAAACCATATCGACAGGGTCGACGCATGGGAGGGCACCTACTTCGAGGTTAAAATACCGTCGGATACCTTCTATGACAAGGAAGATACCACCACTGACAAACTGCAGCTGACCTTGAAGCTGAAGGAGCAGCAGATGCTAGAGGAGAATTCGTGGGTCCAGTTCAACAGCACCAGCCAACTCATGTACGGCATGCCGGACCACAACCACATCGGGAAGCACGAGTACTTCATGTACGCGACCGACAAAGGTGGGCTTTTTGCTGTGGATGCTTTTGAAATCCACGTCCACAAACGCCCGCACGGGGACAAGTCTCCGGTGAAGTTCAAGGCCAGGCTGGAAGGGGACCACAATGCAGTGGTGAACGACATCAATAAGAAGATCATGCTGGTGAAGAAGCTGGCTCTGGCATTTGGCGACAGGAACAGCAGCACCATCACGGTGCAGGACATCACCAAAGGCTCCATCATAGTGGAGTGGACGAACAACACGCTGCCCCTGGAGCCCTGTCCCCGGGAGCAGATCCGGACTTTAAGCAAAAAAATTGCAGATGACTCCGGTGGGCCGAGCCCGGCTTTCTCCAACGTCTTGCAGCCCGAGTTCAAGCCACTGAACGTGTCGGTGGTCGGCTCCGGCAGCTGCAGGCACATCCAGTTCATCCCCGTCACGAAGGACGGAAGGGTGATATCGGAGGTGACGCCGACGGTGGCAGCAGGCAAAGACCCCGAGAAGAGCAGCGAGGATGACGTGTACCTGCACACCGTCATCCCCGCCGTGGTGGTGGCCGCCATCCTCCTCGTGGCTGGCATCATCGCCATGATCTGCTACCGCAAGAAGAGGAAAGGGAAGCTGACCATCGAAGACCAGGCCACCTTCATAAAGAAAGGCGTGCCCATCATCTTTGCCGATGAGCTGGACGACTCCAAGCCTCCGCCGTCCTCCAGCATGCCCCTCATCCTCCAGGAGGAGAAAGCCCCGCTGCCTCCCCCAGAATACCCCAACCAGAACATGCCGGAGACCACGCCGCTCAACCAGGACACCATCGGGGAGTACACGCCGCTGCGGGATGAGGACCCCAACGCACCGCCCTACCAGCCTCCCCCCCCCTTCACCGCACCCATGGAGGGGAAAGGCTCCCGCCCGAAGAACATGACCCCGTACAGGTCCCCGCCGCCCTACGTCCCCCCTTAACAAACGGGAGGCTCTCGGGGGAGAAGGGGCCTCCAGCTCCACACCAGTGCTGTCTGTGGGCCGGCAGCCCCCTCGCCAGCCGGGAACCCGAAACCCCAGCCCGCTCCCCAACAGGCCCTCCCCGGCTGCGCCCGCCACACCGGAGCACTCGCAGGACTTGGGGGGAGACTTGTTTTATTTTTGCCTAACAAGCTTTGGTTTTATTTTATTCATAGAAAAAATTCTCGGCTCAAACACGCCTTCCCGGCGGCTGGGCTTCTGGCCGGGGCCAGGGCCGGGGCCAGGGGCGGCGGGCAGGGAGGGGGGACGGGACGGGACGGGAGGAGCAGGCAGCACTGGGGTAGCACTCTGGGTCTCCGCTGTTTGCCTTTAACACTAACTGTACTGTTTTTTCTATTCACGTGTGTCTAGCTACAGGACGTAACATGAAAGGTAGCCTAAAAATAATTAAATTCAAGGGACTTTCTGAAGTCGATGTTTTAAGTTTTTACATTTAATCTGCTGTTTACCTAAACTGGGATGTGTAGTTTTGGGGAGGGGGAGGGCAGTGCTGTGCTGCAGGTGAGCTCCAGGGGCGATTGGGGCTGGTTAGGGGGGGGCCCTTGAGGACAGCCAGCCTCCTCCTCGGGGGGATCGGCTTCTTGGTTCGGGGTTTGATTCTTTTTGGTTTTTTTTTTAATCAAAGAAATCCTATTTTTCTCACGTATCATAAAATAGTCATCAGTTGAGTCAGACTGGCTTGGGGCACCTTTGGCTAAGTGCAGGAGCAGCTGCCCGCACCTCGGGATGCAGTGCTGTGCTGGGGGGGCTCATGGGAGGGTGAGCGGGGCCCCGCACCGTGATGGCTTCTCCACTGTCCGGTGAGCACTGGGGTCAGGGTGGTCTTTTTTAAGCAAAACCCCCTCCCTGTGAAGTGTTTTGGTGATGGTGGGGTGTTTTCTCCATAACGCGGTGCTCTTTTTGCCTCGACTGCTCCTTGAGAGCAGTGCCGGAATGGCCTTGCTGGTCCCTGGCTCCAGGTCGCATGCCTCCTCCTGGCTGCTCCGTGCCTGGGTGCTGCTGGAAAAGATCAGTTTAAAAAAAAAAAAAAAAAAGAAAAAAGAAAAAAAAAGAAAAAAAGGGGAAAAAAAAAGCACCAGGAATAGTTAATAGTCAGAAAAAATCAGTGAATTCTCAAATCTAATTTTTTACTAAATTTTTGATACAGCCTCAAATTGTTTTATTAAAAAAAGACTTAAAAACCGGTGTACCGCTGCCAGCAGTTTGTACGAGCTTGGCTTCCTAGTACAGCTCCCTGGACCCACCGCCCTGCTCAGGCCGAGCTTGTCTGAGCCGCGGGGCCGCCCCCCGCTGCCCCCCACCCCTCGGCTGCCTCTTCCTTCACTTTATAGGTATTATTTTTTCTCTCCTTCGCGCTAAATCATTTTAAGCATGGATTGACTTTGTGTTTTCCCCGAGCGTCCTTTGGGGAGGAGAAATAACCCCCGTGCGGCGGGAGCGGGGGGTCCCAGCGCCCGGGCAGCCATACCCACCCTCTCCTTCGGGGGACGGTGCGCTGCCGCGGGCGGGCGCGCGGCG